ACCCTGAGCTTTTCCACCCCTCACTCACACATTCTGTGCTCGCTGTGCTGGATGGAGCCACCCTCAAGCTGTCCTACCCCAAGAGCAACATCCCACGCAGAGCCACCTTCGAGGAGGAAATCCTCGATGCTGTCTTCATCAGCCACCGCTGCTACAACCTGACTGATGCCAAGGTGAGCCTGGTGGGGCCCAGGACCCTCCTCTGGGGACCCCCTACCCCTGGCCCAGCCTCACTGCTGCTCTTGGTGCTGCAGGTGTTCCTCTGCCCCCCCAACCTGGCCCGAAAGAGGACGTGGAACAAGAAATATCCCATCTGTGTCCTCCTCCCTGAGGCGGCAGAGGGGGAGTGCCGGAGAAGCGAGGAGCAGGACACAGAGCTGCAGGGGGATGAGGGGACAAAGAAGGTGGCAGTGTCTGGGCAGGATATCCCAGGGGACTGCAAGGAGAGGTGTCTGTACCTCTTTGGGAGGACAGGGAGGGAGAAGGAGGAGTGGTACCAGCATCTCGTGCAAGCTTCTCGCGGTACACCCAGCAGCCATGGTAACAGCAGGGCAGGTGAGACACAGCCAGCATGACCTCTGCTCTGTGCCAGCAGTGATCTGGGTGGGAGATGGATGTGGGCAAGGTGGACAAACCCTTGGTGGGCAGCAATGAGCATGAAGGAGCCCAGAGCATGTGCAGCAGCAGGGAGAGCCTAGATGGTCCCTCCTGCCAGCACAGGGTGGGTGCTATGTCACTGGCATCATGGTTGGGCATCGTGCCACATCTCAGATCATTCTGACCCAATAGATGGGATACTAGGAAAAAAATTCCTGCATGGAAAGGGTTGTCCAGCCCTGACACAGCTGCCCAGGGCAGTGGTGGACTCACCATCCCTGGAGGGATTTAACAGCCATGTGGATGTGGCACTTAGGGACATGGTTAGTGATGGCCTTGGCCGTGCTGGGGGAATGGTTGGACTTCATGATCTTAGGTGTATTTTCCAACCTCAATGACTCTTGTATTCCATGTCCTGTGTCCCCAGGTGTGGGACCAGCTCCACAGAGCAGTGGCAGCAGCAGCACAGGAAGTGCTGAGGACATCCCCTTTGCTGTCCCTCCCAAGGACCTGGCGGGAAATGTTGAGGAGATTTACCTGGATTACAGCACCTACATGGCTCGATTTGTGCCAGCCCAAGGGGTGGCCAGCCCAGACCAGAGCCCCTCTCATGGAGCTCTAGGCAGCCTCACCCCCACAAAGGTGAGTGGGACAAATCCAGCACCGGGAGCAGGACAGGAGCGCTAAACAGAGCACTTCTAGTCTACGCTTCATCTCCCTATTGGCACTGTGATTTGAGCAGTCAACCCTGGGGCAGGGGAGCAACTAGGGCAGGTCCAACTGGTCATGGCACCACTTCCCTGCAGGGGCTGGTGGCCTCTGTCCCCTCCCAGCTCGGTGAGGACACAGGTGGGCGCAGCGAGGTGGGAATGTCCTGGATGAACGCGCTGGTGGGACGCATCTTCTGGGACTTTCTCCGTGAGCAATACTGGGCTGAGCAGGTGTCCAACAAAATCCAGAAGAAGCTGAGCAAGATCAAGGTGAGAGGCAGGAGCATCACAGCAGGGGAGCACTGTCCCAGAGGTTCCCAGGCTGAGGTGATCATCCCTATGGGGCTTCCCTCCACCAGCTCCCATATTTCATGAACGAGCTGACGCTGACGGAGCTGGACATGGGCACATCCATCCCCTCGGTCCTCAGTGCCTCCAACCCCACCGTCAACAAGCGAGGTAAGAGCTCTGCAGAGCAGCAGGACCCCAGGGCAGGCTCCACCAGCCCAGTCCCTGAGGCAGAGAGGTTTTGGCAGGTGCACAAGCAGCTCCAAGCCCTGTGGTGCTCACCTGTCCCTCTCCCTGGCAGGGCTCTGGGTGGACATGGAGGTCACCTACAGCGGCTCATTGCAGATGACACTGGAGACGAAGATGAACCTCAGCAAGCTGGGGAAAGAGACTGCTGCAGAGGAGAGTGGCCCTGCAGAGGCAGGAGGAGAGGGGTAAGGAGTGGGCATGGCTGGGTTCATCCTCATCCTCCTTCTTCTCTTCCTCTTGCCTGAGCAAGGCAAGAGGCTGCTGACCCCAGAACACCCCTGTGATGCTCCTTGGGGCTCTCAGGGCCAGGCCACGGCTGATTCTGCTGGCAGACAGCGATGCAGAGTCTTCCAGTGCTGGCTCCTCTGAAGAGGAAGACATCACCAATGCAGAACCCTTGGGAGCCCTGGGGGAGAGGGTCCCCCCACCTGGCACTGAGGGGTAAGGGGGTCTTGGGGGTCTGTGCCATGAGGTGCATGGGGAGGTGCTGGGGGAGGCACAGTGCTAGGCCAGCATGGGGGCTTGGGGATGGTGGTGTAGGGCTCTGGGTGTCACCCTGTGCTGAGCTGGGCACCCCAAAACCCAGCAGGGTCTCCCCCTGTGCTGAGCTGGGGGACTCCAAAACCCATCAGGGTCTCCCCCATGCTGACCTGGGTCTCCCCTGGCTTTAGGCACATGACAGGGAACAGCACGAGCCGGAGGATTCTGCGCTTCGTGGATAAGATTGCCAAGTCAAAGTACTTCCAGAAGGCCACAGAAAATGAGTTCATCAAGAAGAAGATGGAGGAGGTCTCCAACACACCGCTGCTACTGACGGTGGAGGTGCAGGAGCTGGCAGGCACCTTGGCTGTGAACATCCCACCACCACCTACAGATCGTGTCTGGTACCAGCTCTCCTTCCTCCCACCTGCACAGCCTCCTTCCAGCTACCCTTGCTCCCTCTGGCTTGGCCAAGGAGCCACCACAGGGGCTTTGGGTTCATCTGGGCCACCAGCAATCAATGGTGTTCTCTCAAGGGATCTCACAGACTTATTGCTCTGAGACTCCACCAAGGCCAACTCAGGTTTTGGGGACCCAGAGCTAGCACCTCCTCCCCAAAACCCAAGAGTGGAGCCACCTGGGCTGTGGAGCCACCTGGGCTGCGTCACATCTTCAGGATGTGATGCTTTCTGCCTCTTTCCTTTTGCCTCACAGGTACAGCTTCCGAGTGCCACCACAGCTGGAGCTGAAGGTGCGCCCCAAGCTGGGGGAGAGGGAGGTGACATTCCTCCACGTCACTGAGTGGATTGAGAAGAAACTGCAGCATGAATTTCAGGTGCTTTGGCTGGTAAAGGGTTCAGCAAACCCTGCTGAGGCTTGGGCATTGCTTCCATCAGGGATAATCAACCTCAGTTTGAGCCAGTTGTCTCAATGAAAAGTCAATATCTGGTCTGGTCGGTCCAGCTTTGGACAGCCAAGAAAGAGAAGCCGAGGAACCAGCTTCAGGGCTGGTGCTCTGAGCACTAAATACTTGAGGAAAAGTGGTGTCCTCTCAGCATGTGCAGCTCTGCCCCAAGCAGGATTTGGGGTGTCAGCAAGTCCCAGGCAGACACCCCCAGAAGGGCTGAATCCACCCATCCACTCTGGTTTGGGAGATGTGCCATCACAAGGGTTTGTTTTCAGCCTCTCACCTTTGAGACCTCTGGTCAAAGAGGAGAATGCCCCCACAGATATTTAGGGCCTCCCAAAGTTGGCCATTTGGATGGCTTCAAAGTGCTGGTCCCTGCCCTCTGCTGTGAGCACCCCTGAAGCCACACAGGTGGGCAGGGCAATGAGAAACTGCTCCTGTTTGTCCTTATCCTGATATCCAGAGCTGGGAACTCCCAGGGCTGCTGCTGAGGGGATGGGACCTGTTCACAGCCCCAGTCTCCTGACCAGGCCACCTCCAGGCTGTGTCCCCAGGCAGGTAGAGGTATTCAAACACACTTAACTTGTTATTCTGGATTCCTCTTTTCAGAAAATCCTGGTGATGCCAAACATGGATGATCTCATAATTCCCATCATGTGCTCTGGCCTGGATCCTTGGCTACCCACTGCAGGTTTGCCTCGGCAGCCACCAGCCAAGGTGGAGAAGAGGCTCTGAAGCACAGCCCCAGGGGCCGGGATGCTGCACAGAGCTCAGGGACCTCTCTGGGACTTGAGGACAGCCAGGGCCTGTGCACCAAGTGGGCTCTGAGTTCCACAGTTCATCTCATTCTCAGCACTTCTGCAGATGAGGTTCCTCCTCAAGCAAGCACACATTCAGGGCAGAGCCAGGCATGGAGCAGGGGCTGCTGGAGACCCAGGAGCTTCATGCGCCAGGTTCCCAGGACTCCTGGCCAAGGAGGCAGCTCTGTAGCAGTGGAAGGCTGGGCTTCCCACTGCCTGCTGCCCAAGGAGGGTGTAGGCTGCCCACACCTGTCCTGCACCCACAGAGTTGGGATCATCGCTGATCCAAAGCTCCCAGCTCCAAGGCATGCCACCCTCCCTGCAGGCAGCTGGGCTGCAAGGGAAGCAGGGGTGGGAAATGAGTCCAGAATCCAAATAAATCCATCACTGTCCAGCCCAGCCACCTTGGTGTACCCAATTCCCATTTCTGCTCAGGATTCCATCAGGATCAGAAGGCTTTGAGCAGGGAGAAGCCCATGGGTCATATCTTCAGCTCAGCCAAAGCAGTGCCTGGGTGGGGGTGTGAGGCAGTGAGGGGAGAGACAGGGAGACTGGGTCATGGGGAGGCCCTGTATTCCCAGTATTCCCAGTGGAAACTGGGGCAGGAGTGCTGGTACCTCTTCTGCTCTTCCCTGGAAGAGATGAAGGTGTTTGTACCTGCTCTGCTCTTCTCTGGAAGAGAGGAGTGTTGGTACCTGCTCTGCTCTGCTCTCCTCTGGAAGAGAGAAAGGACGGTCTTCATGGTGCTTTGGGTGAGTGGGAAGACATTCCCTGAGCAAAGGAAAGGGAGGATCTAGAGGACAGAGCAGACACTTGGCTGTCCCAGTTAGTCTCTGTCTATATGGGCCAGTTCCAAGTGCTGTTTGTCCCATCCCACATGCCTGAAAACAGTCAAGAGCCCCTCCAGAAGGAAGACAGGGAGCAGGCATGGCTTGGAGCTCCTTTATTGGAGGTGCCCAGTCAGACAGCCTTGGATCTCTGTCCTTAGAGCTCTTGCATGCTTGGCTTCTCCTTCACCAAGTGCTTCTTCTGAGGACCCTAGAAGAGAGCAGAGGAAAGTTTGGTGTTAGAGACAGACAAACCGGATCTGCAAGGCTGCAGCTGGGCTGGGGGACCAGAAATGCAGCTCTGGCCCCTCTCTGCTGTGCCAGGCTGCTCCTGGGCGCTGCATTCCAGCTGGAATCTCACTGCCACCATCCACCAGCCCCCCAGAGCCCCTCTCACCCTCCAGGAATTGGGAGAGGAGCATCATGGCCCTTGCACAGAGGGTCTGTTTTCCTGGCCAGGACAAAAGCAGACAGAGAGCACAAGGAGTGACCTGCCCTGAGCCAGGTGGGATGGCTGCTGGCAGGGGATGTGGAGAGGAGCAGACATTGTGCTGGTGACTGCTCCCAGGAGTTCACCACAGTGGTGGGGAAGCTGCTGAACTGCTGCCTGAGCCCTGGAGAAGGCTAAACCTCCCTCAACCCAAGGCATAGGTCCTTATCCAGCCCCCCAAGCTTTTCACCAGCTGAAAAAAAAATTGAGTTATCTCACAACAAATCAATCCTATGGGAGCAGATGGCAGGAATGACTTCTGTGGCTCCACTCCCAGCCCAGTGGGATGTTTTACCACAGAACACATGGTAAAGAAAACAGCTGCAGCAGGTGAAAGCTCTTCCTATCCCTGAGCTCCACGTCAGAGCAGCTCAGGGCTGCAGTAACACACAACGCTGAGCTGAAGAAAATCAGCTTAACCTTTAAAGACCTCTGCAAAGGCACTGCCTAACCAATCCCCCTCCCAGCACTAAGGAGGCTTAGCAAGCTTCACATGGCATTTCTGGCTGACAGGCCAGATCCAGATCCAGTTTACATCTGAGTGGTATCCAGGCAGTTATTTCCCTTTTCCTAGCTGAAGCCAATGCTTCCTCCATTTCACACTCAGACATGCACCATCCTGAAAAAACACTCAAGAAACTGCTTGGTTTGGATTATTTAACTGTTTTTCTTGCCCTGGATTTAAGGAAAATATCCTGCTTGGCCTTCTTGAAAGCTTCCTGACAAAAGGATCACAATTTTGTGTCACAGTTTGACCCAACCTTGATTTCCCCTTAAGAACATTAAGGCTCTAAATCCTTCCAAACAAATCAAAGCAGCACACAGTGCTGGGTGAAAGGGAACATATGGACAAGGCAGTGCCTGCCAACTTAACTGCTTGTTTAGAACTTCCCATACTGAATGGAAACTGGTTGACCATATGGTCTATTATTTGCTGGTTGGGTTGTCTTGGATCACTCACACAACCATCATGTTCTTCCTTAGCATCATTTCTGCTGGGTGAACTGAATTCATAGGATGTTAAGGGGTTGGAATGGAGCTTAGAGATTATCCATTCCCAACCCCTTGCCCTGGGCAGGGACACCTCCAACCAGAGCAGGTTGCTCAAGGCTTTAGCCAACCAAGGAACCCTGCCGGGCCTGGGGCAGCCACAGCCTCCCTGGGCAACCTGTGCCAGTGTCTCACCACCCACACAGGGTAAAACGTCTGCCTAAGATCTCATCTCGGCTTCCCTCTTTCAATTTATCCCCATTACTCCTTGTCCTGTCGCTGCAGTTCCTAACCAGAGTCCCTGTGCAGCTTCCCTAGAGCCCCTTCAGCTCCTGGCAGTTGCTCTGAGGTCTCCACACGACATTCTCTTCTCCTGGCTCAAGAGTCCAAACTCTCTCCATAGGGAAGGTGCTCCAACCCTTTTCTCAGCTTTGTGGCCTCCTCTGGATTTGCTCCAACAGTTCCATGTCCTTCTGTCTGTTGGGGACACCAGAACTGTGTGCAGCACTCCAGGTGGAGCCTCACAGGAGCAGAGCAGAGGGGAAGAGTCACCTCCCTCACCTGCTGCCCAGGACATGGTTGTCTTTATGCAAGAGAGGCTCAAAATCATTCATTTGGCTGTTGCTATATCTAGAAGCAGATCATAGAATCATGGAATCATGGAATGGTTTGGGTTGGAAGGGATGTTAAAGTTCATCCAGCTCCACCTTCATGCCATGGGCAGGGACACCTTCCACTAGAAGATGCTTGGCTGGAGTCAACCAGCTGCTTTAGCCCCCTGGGTGGGAGGTGGAGCCCAGAGGGCACTTACCATGAAAGCTCTCTTCTCCGGGGCTGTCTGGAAGCGACCATGGCCAAACTTGGAGGTAGTATCAATGAACTTGAGCTCGATGACTTCATGAGCCCTGCGGCTGGTGTGCACCAGGAGGGACTGGGAGAGTCACAACACATCAGGGTTAGGATCACAGAAAACCAGGACATCTGCTTCAATGGAAGCAGGGTTGGAATGTCCCTTAGACAAATATCTCCATGAAAATCTGCCTTCTCAGAACAACACTGTCAGCCTCAGGGGGCAGGTGACAAGATTGCAGAGCTGCTGTTCACTTACCATTTCATTCCTGCACAATTCAAGGTTTCATTTCTGGGCCCCTCAGAGACTTCAGTCTCCAGAGAAATTCCACCCACCTGCACACTCCGCAAACCATCTACTTCTACCTGCCAACGGTCTGAGCACCACATGCTCTTTGCAACTCAGCATCAAGGACCCAACCAGCCTCCTTGCCCAGCATTTGGAGGATTGTCCAGGTGGGGAATGTGCTCCTGGAGAGGTTCAGCCCATCCCTGCTCTCACCTTACGGAGGGTGAGCACACGCTTCTTTGTGCCCATGACACAGCCCTTCAGCATGAGGAAATCATTGTTGACCTCTCCATAGTGAGGGAAACCACCCTGTGGGGAGAGGCAGAGAGGTTGGTGGGGAGCACACCAGGCCACAGGTGGCATTTTCCAGGGAAGGAGAAGGTAGTGCCTGAGGGTGATTCCAGCTGGCAACACTCAGCACCCTGTGGGTTGCCTGAGGAGAATCACAGAGTCCTGGAATGGTTTGGGTTGGAAGGACATTAAAGACCATCCTGTCTCATGGGCAGGGACACCTTCTACTAGACCATCAGAGCATGTCAACCACTGAGTGCATCATCCCAGCTGGATGCAATCCATAAGAATTAGGGAACCAGAACCTACTTCCTTCCCTGCAGGGTGCGTGCAAACAGAGAGCAGAGCTGGTCGCACGCACCAGCTAAGGGCTTTTAACACACAAAAGTGAATTTTTAAACCAAGTAACAAATATTTATCTGTTAAATATCAGATTCTCATTTCCCACCCAAGTCATCAGCCAAAAGTTAAAGGTTTGACTCAACTAATGGGCCTAAAAAACACCTCACAGAGAAGTTTTCCTATGTCAAAAACATGAATTTCAGTGAATTTCCTTCAAATAATTTCTTGCCCACCTGTGTCCAGCCAAGGAATTACTTCCTTGGCTTAAATTCCTGCAGACAAGGCCAGTCACACCCCTGCTACCCCTCAGCCCTTACCAGAGGTGTGATGGTCTTCTCTGTGATATCGTAGTGTGTGGAGGCATTGTTCCTCACCACTTTGCCATCCTCCACGTGGATCCCACGGCCAATGCGGTAAATCTGGGAACACAGAGGCAATGGAGATGGGATTTTCCTGCCCCTTGCTGAGCTATGTCACAGGGTGAGAGAATCACACACAGAATCACATAGTTTTAGAATCATTGAACCATCGGGGTTGGAGGGGACCACTAAGACCATCAAGTCTAACCATTAACCTGTCACTGCTGTTACCCCTAAACCCTAAACCATATCCTGCAGCACCATATCTTAAACCCCTCCAGGGATGGTGACTCCACCACCTCCTCGGACAATATTCCAGTGCCTGAACACCCTAAAAAGGAAAACATTTTTCTTAATATCTCCTCTGACTCTGCCCTCTCTCAGCACAAGGCCATTCCCTCTAGTCCTCTCCCTGCAGCCCTGGCAGAAGACACCTCATCCGCCTCTCTCCAGCCCCTGTCAGGGAGTTGGAGTGAGCCATGAGGTCACCCCTGAGCC